ATCTGAAGGAACTGAACAGAATGTACACCGTGCTATATTCACCAGATCTGGGGGAACTGAACAGAATGTACACTGTGCTATATTCACCAGATCTGGGGGAACTGAACAGAATGTACACTGTGCTATATTCACCAGATCTGGGGGAACTGAACAGAATGTACACAGTGCTATATTCACCAGATCTGGTGGAACTGAACAGAATGTACACCGTGCTATATTCACCAGACCTGGGGGAACTGAACAGAATGTACACTGTGGTATATTCACCAGATCTGGAGGAACTGAACAGAATGTACACTGTGCTATATTCACCAGACCTGGGGTAACTGAACAGAATGTACACTGTGGTATATTCACCAGATCTGGGGGAACTGAACAGAATGTACACAGTGCTATATTCACCAGACCTGGGGGAACAGAACAGAATGTACACCGTGCTATATTCACCAGATCTGGGGGAACTGAACAGAATGTACACAGTGCTATATTCACCAGATCTGAGGGAACTGAACAGAATGTACACAGTGCTATATTCACCAGATCTGGGGGAACTGAACAGAATGTACACCGTGCTATATTCACCAGATCTGGGGGAAATTATCAGAATGTACACTGTGCTATATTCACCAAATCTGGGCGAACTTAACCCGTTTGCCCGCCCTAAATATAGCAAAATCTTACCTTGATTGCAGTGTGGTGCTGCTGGCTCTGCCTCTGATCTGCCTGCTTGGCTGACATCATTAGTTTTGTTCTGTGAAAATCACAATGCATCCCTATAGGATTGGCTGAGACTGTCAAGGAGGCAGATCAGGGGCAGAGCCAGCACAAGCCTAACAGCCCTGGCCAGTCAGCATCTCCTTTTAGAGATACACTGCCCCAGGAAGCACCTCTAGCAGCCATCTGAGGAGTGGCCAGTGACGTTGTCACTAGGCTGTAATGTAAACACTGCATTTTCTCGAAAAACCCAATGTTTACAGCAAAAGGCCTGAATGGAATGATTCTACTCACCAGAACAAATACAATAAGCTGTAGTCGTTCTGGTGATTATAGTGTCCCTTTAATGTGTGCCAGGCTATCTTCACCAGATCTGGGAGAGTTGAACTTAAAGTGTGCCAGGCTATGTTCACCAGAAGAAGACGTTTTAAATATACCTGAGGATTACTTGCTTGCTCCATGATCTTGATCAGAAGATTCTGGTCTTGTTCTCGAACTGAGTCCTTGGCATCCCCTAACCGATCGATTAAACTGGGAAGAACTTATAAAGAAAGACAACATTTAGCACTAGTAAGTTGTACACAGCACTTCAGAGCCTGCTTGATCAAAGAACAAATCTGTTTGCCAATAATCCCTGCTGATTCATAATGACAATAATCTAATTATTTGTATTCCTTCTTTCCAATCAACAGAGTAAAAAGATGTATTAAAAGTTGAATTAAATGGATTTAAGTTTATTTATTTATTTATTAACTCAAACCTTCTTTCTTCTTGAAAGACTTGTTTGTACCAGTCAGCTTTTCATTCTACTGAGACTGCTCTAACTAAATAACGTTGTTCTACTTCGTCTAAATCTGTCTGATGCTTTTGACACTGTTGACCACGCACTCCAAACCCTTCACACTATTGGCCTTCGTGACTCTGTCCTTTCATGGTTCTTGTCTTATCTCTCCCAATGCTCTTTCACTGTCAAGTTGTCTGGTAAAACATCCTTCCCTCAACCCGTCGTTGCAGTAATTCCTTAAAAGAACATTATAGCATCAGGAACACACACCTGTATTCCCAACACTATAGTGTAAGACTGTTTAGCTCCCCTGCTCCCCTTAGATCAATATGAAAAGGTATTAAACTTAACTTTTCTCGCATGCTGCGCCAGTCAAGACATCTTTGATTCAAGACATCTCTATAAGGAAAGTTCAGACTCTCCATGCAGGGCGTGGAGACACTGAACGTAGGTGCAGCACTGGACAAGGAAGCATTATTACTGATTGTCACTTGAGGTGTCACTAGGTAGCAATGTAAACACTGCCTTTTTATATGAAAAGCCTGCAGGGACAGACTAGAGATACCAGAACCACTACATTAAAATGCAGTGGTTCTGGTGATAATGTCACTTTAAAACTCCATTCTTGGATCCTTCTGTTCTCTCTCTATACTGCCTCTCTCCATAAACCTATTACCACAAATATGGCAATGAAGCCAATAACTCTCTGCTACCCTTCTACAAGGTGTCCTCACCAAATTAGCCGTCCTTATAATATAATCTTCCATTTCACTCTCTATGCAAGTCCTATCAGCACATCATCACCAGCTCTCTGCCCTGTTGTTATATCTGGACCCAACTCTAAGTCTCATATCCAGTAGCAAATCCGACATTTCACTTTGAAAACATTTCCCACATCCTCCTTGATTATTCAACATGCTATGAAGAAGCATGTTTATGCCGTTGTAACTCTACTTTAATGCTCTCCAAAACACACATTACCTCTCTATAGTCTATATTGTTGATTTCAGACTTTTAAAATTAATATATATATATATATATATATATATTCTAATCACTGTTCTCACACCTCACCGATTTACTAACCTACAAAATGACTTCATGTACCCTCAGTATTCAATTCCAGATACCAACAATCTCTACCATATTTATATAGCGCTACTGTAGAGAGAGGTACAGTAAGTGCAGTAGGTATACAGTGTATGTATATTTTATTTATAGAGCGCTAACAGGTGTACTCAGCACTCTACAGGTTAAAGTAGAGGGAGGTACAGTAAGCGCAGCAAGTATACAGTGTGTGTATATTTTATTTATATAGCGCTAACAGGTGTACTCAGCACTTTACGTTACATTACAGTAGAGGGAGGTACAGTAAGTGCAGTAGGTATACAGTGTATGTATATTTTATTTATAGAGCGCTAACAGGTGTACTCAGCACTCTACAGGTTACAGTAGAGGGAGGTACAGTAAGCGCAGCAAGTATACAGTGTATGTATATTTTATTTATATAGCGCTAACAGGTGTACTCAGCACTTTACCAGTTACGTTACAGTAGAGGGAGGTACAGTAAGTGCAGTAGGTATACAGTGTATGTATATTTTATTTATATAGCGCTAACAGGTGTACTCAGCACTTTACAGCTTACATTACAGTAGAGGGAGGTACAGTAAGTGCAGTAGGTATACAGTGTATGTATATTTTATTTATATAGCGCTAACAGCTGTACTCAGCACTTTACAGGTTACATTACAGTAGAGGGAGGTACAGTAAGTGCAGTAGGTATACAGTGTATGTATATTTTATTTATATAGCGCTAACAGGTGTACTCAGCACTTTACCAGTTACATTACAGTAGAGGGAGGTACAGTAAGTGCAGTAGGTATACAGTGTATGTATATTTTATTTATATAGTGCTAACAGGTGTACTCAGCACTTTACAGGTTACATTACAGTAGAGGAAGGTACAGTAAGTGCAGTAGGTATACAGTGTATGTATATTTTATTTATATAGCGCTAACAGGTGTACTCAGTACTTTACAGCTTACATTACAGTAGAGGGAGGTACAGTAAGTGCAGAAGGTATACAGTGTATGTATATTTTATTTATATAGCGCTAACAGGTGTACTCAGCACTTTACAGGTTACATTACAGTAGAGGGAGGAACAGTAAGTGCAGTAGGTATACAGTGTATGTATATTTTATTTATATAGCGCTAACAGGTGTACTCAGCACTTTACAGCTTACATTACAGTAGAGGGAGGTACAGTAAGTGCAGTAGGTATACAGTGTATGTATATTTTATTTATATAGCACTAACAGGTGTACTCAGCACTTTACAAGTTACATTACAGTAGAGGGAGGTACTGTAAGTGCAGTAGGTATACAGTATATGTATATTTTATTTATATAGCGCTAACAGGTGTACTCAGCACTTTACAAGTTACATTACAGTAGAGGGAGGTACTGTAAGTGCAGTAGGTATACAGTGTATGTATATTTTATTTATATAGCGCTAACAGGTGTACTCAGCACTTTACAGGTTACATTACAGTAGAGGGAGAGACAGTAAGTGCAGTAGTTCTGCAGATATGAGTAATAGTAGATAAATTAAATATTGGTATATTCAAATTAAAAGTATTAATCTATCTTTTCAGCTTAAATAATATATTATCCATAAAATAGTGGTCTCACCTGTTCCAATCTGTGTTCTAAATCTGTCCTGTAAACGTGAAACTAAGGCAGACAGAATATCCATTCCAATCAAAGCGACCTAAAAACAGGGTGAAACGTGGGAAATGAGTATCTATACATAGCGATGGAGCGTTAAATAAAATCCATACAGGCTAAAGACTCCTGGGGAATCAACAGCTATGTATTATTTTATTATTTATATAGCGCCAGCAAATTCCGTAGCGCTGTACAATGGGATGGTTGTTGTTGTTATTATTTATATAGCGTCAACTTATTCCGCAGAACTTAACAATATTATGAAAGGGGGAAAATTAACAATAAATTAGAGATTTACAAAATGGTAAAGAAACAATAGGTATAAGAGGATCGTGTCCACATGTGCTTACCAGTCTAGAGGATGATATGAAGGTATTTAAAAAAAAAATAATGATATTATATATATATAAAAATAAAAACTAAATGTACAATCTAAAAAAAAAAGGTGTAAATAGAGAAAAATAATGCTATATATGTATACACAAATACACACTAGAAAAAACTGCAAGAACTGAAAATGTCATTGGTATGCAAATGATCACAGCTAGATGGCGCAATGCATCGTGGGAAATGGATCCCTTTACTTTATACGGTACAGGAAGTATAAAAAGCTTTTCATTTGTTTAGTTAAAAAAAAACAAAAAAAACCCCAGCACAATTTAACAAGGGACAGTGTATCAGTATATCCAGGACAAATAACTACAGACATCCATTCACTATAACCGTAACCATGTGTCCATCTTCAACCCCCAGCTCCACGCGGCCGTCTCAGTAACCATCCTTCTCTTGGGGTGAGCGACTGTTCAATGAGCGAATAGTGAGAGCAGTCCTGCTAACACCACACAGACAACACCGAGCATCACTAGTGCATATGTGCTAGAAAGGTGCAATTTTTGGAACAATTTCCATCTTACAAAACCGTAAAAATAAGAATAACCAATAGTGAAAACAAAACGAAACTAAAACAGTTCAACCAACAGATGGCGCTGTGCACGTTATAATTTACACGGAGCTCATCCCGCTCACACCGTGTTTCCTGCTCTGCCAGCATTCAGCGATCACTCAGCAATAGCGGACACATTGTAACAAAACCAAACCCAGCATTCCGGACTGTATCTATTACACAGCAACAGCAGATACAATGTAACTAACCCACGGACTGTATCTATTACACAGCAACAGCAGATACAATGTAACTAACCCACGGACTGTATCTATTACACAGCAACAGCAGATACAATGTAACTAACCCACTATCTATTACACAGCAACAGCAGATACAGTGTAACTAACCCACGGACTGTATCTATCGCACAGCAACAGCAGATACAATGTAACTAACCCACGGACTGTATCTATTACACAGCAACAGCAGATACAATGTAACTAACCCACTATCTATTACACAGCAACAGCAGATACAATGTAACTAAACCACAGACTGTATCTATTACACAGCAACAGCAGATACAATGTAACTAACCCACTGACTGTATCTATTACACAGCAACAGCAGATACAATGTAACTAACCCACTATCTATTACACAGCAACAGCAGATACAGTGTAACTAACCCACGGACTGTATCTATCGCACAGCAACAGCAGATACAATGTAAATTCAAGCCACAGACTGTATCTATCGCACAGCAACAGCAGATACAAATGTAACTAACCCACGGACTGTACTCCATTACACAGCAACAGCAGATACAATGTAACAAACCAGACTGTATCTATTACACAGCAACAGCAGATACAATGTAACTAACCCACGGACTGTATCTATTACACAAGCAACAGCAGATACAATGTAACTAACCCACGGACTGTATCTATTACACAGCAACAGCAGATACAATGTAACTAACCCACGGACTGTATCTATTACACAGCAACAGCAGATACAATGTAACTAACCCACGGACTGTATCTATTACACAGCAACAGCAGATACAATGTAACTAACCCACAGACTGTATCTATCGCACAGCAACAGCAGATACAATGTAACTAACCCACGGACTGTATCTATCACACAGCAACAGCAAATACAATGTAACTAAACCGCGGACTGTATCTATCACACAGCAACAGCAGATACAATGTAACTAACCCACGGACTGTATCTATCGCACAGCAACAGCAGATACAATGTAACTAACCCACGGACTGTATCTATCGCACAGCAACAGCAGATACAATGTAACTAACCCACGGACTGTATCTATCGCACAGCAACAGCAGATACAATGTAACTAACCCACTGACTGTATCTATTACACAGCAACAGCATATCCAATGTAACTAACCCACGGACTGTATCTATCACACAGCAACAGCAGATACAATGTAACTAACCCACTGACTGTATCTATCACACAGCAACAGCAGATACAATGTAACTAACCCACTATCTATTACACAGCAACAGCAGATACAATGTAACTAACCCACTATCTATTACACAGCAACAGCAGATACAATGTAACTAACCCACGGACTGTGTCTATCGTACAGCAACAGCAGATACAATGTAACTAACCCACTATCTATTACACAGCAACAGCAGATACAATGTAACTAACCCACAGACTGTATCTATCGTACAGCAACAGCAGATACAATGTAACTAACCCACGGACTGTATCTATTACACAGCAACAGCAGATACAATGTAACTAAACCACAGACTGTATCTATTACACAGCAACAGCAGATACAATGTAACTAACCCACTGACTGTATCTATTACACAGCAACAGCAGATACAATGTAACTAAGCCACTATCTATTACACAGCAACAGCAGATACAATGTAACTAAGCCACTATCTATTACACAGCAACAGCAGATACAATGTAACTAAGCCACAGACTGTATCTATCACACAGCAACAGCAGATACAATGTAACTAACCCACTGACTGTATCTATTATCTACACACAGCAACAGCAGATACAATGTAACTAACCCACTGTATCTATTACACAGCAACAGCAGATACAATGTAACTAAACCACAGACTGTATCTATTACACAGCAACAGCAGATACAATGTAACTAAACCGCGGACTGCGTCTATGGCACAGCAACAGCAGATACAATGTAACTAAACCGCGGACTGTGTCTATCACACAGCAGCAGCAGATACATTGTAACAAAACCAAACCCAGCATTCTGGACTGTATCTATTACACAGCAACAGCGGATACAATGTAACTAAACCGCGGACTGTATCTATTACACAGCAACAGCAGATACAATGTAACTAAACCGCGGACTGTATCTATTACACAGCAACAGCAGATACAATGTAACTAACCCAGGAACTGCGTCTATCGCACAGCAACAGCAGATACAATGTAACTAAACCAGGAACTGCGTCTATCGCACAGCAACAGCAGATACAATGTAACTAAACCAGGGACTGCGTCTATCACACAACAACAGCAGATACAATGTAACTAAACCAGGGACTGCGTCTATCGCACAACAACAGCAGATACAATGTAACTAAACCAGGAACTGCGTCTATCGCACAACAACAGCAGATACAATGTAACTAAACTGCGGACTGTGTCTATCGCACAGCAACAACAGATACAATGTAACCAAGCCACGCATTCCAGACTGTGTTATCCAGGTATATAATGATAATGGCAGTATTAATTTAATGACGTTGTAAACCGTTCTGTGAAATCATTATATTTAATCATAAATTAGGTAAAAAGCCGTGCTGTAACGAATGGAAACATAAGATGCTCATCACCACCTTCCCAGCTTCCATACCAGGTAAAACAACTAAAAGTCTGCCATTAATAGCCTGTTCCTGCAATGGGGGACTTCAGCAGTTTAAATGTTCCATCAAAGCTTTCATGTAAACGTTACACGGAATGTAACATTCATTTTTCTTTCAATTATGCAATTCAATTTTGTTTATTTAAAAGGCAAAATGTCACTTCTCTAAAAATTATATTATAGCATAAAAAAGGTATATTAAATATTTAGCAAATTACAGCATAAACCAGTTCAGTCCAGGCAGTCAGAGCACACAATGCAAATGAGAAGAAATAGAAAATTAAAATGTTTAATTTCTTCTCTTTTCTGTCTGTTCTCTCTATACTGACTGCCAGGTGTAAAGGGTGGAGCTTATAATAATGATTGACAGGGAGCTGAGATGGAGGCACCCAGTTACAGGATAAAGGTGGTATACAGGGTTATGTTAATATAATAAAAATCCTGGGAAGAAATCGTCCCTGCTAAACCAATTCATGATATCAAGGGAATTTACTATCCACTTGTCTTCAAGGTTGGAAATAATGATGGTGAATGATATGCAAATAACCTGGTGCTATGCATTATGGGATTTACCTTTTGCAACTTCCATCACAAATACCATATAAAGATGGAGCAGCTTTTTACATCACCCAGTCTGAGTGCTGGGGGTTTATATTAAAGTATCTGGGTGTAAATAAATACTACTCTTCACTCACCGCTAGTGTAAGGATAGTTGTGATTTCTAGCTCAACATTAAATAGCATCCACTGTTAACCATCCTTGTCTTGGGTTGTGAGACTGTTCAATGAACGAATAGTGATAATGGTCCTGCTGATACCACTGACAACACAACTGCATCACTAATGTGAATACATTAGCAAGGTGCAATTTTTGGAACCAATAAAGTGTAAAAACAGACAATAAAAACTACACAGATTAAAATATGCAATGCGATACAATCGTCAATATTTATAAGATAAACAGAAACATAATATGACTGAAAGGCGGGACAGAGCTAAATACATGTCTGCATTTCTATATTTAATTTCATTTTAAGAGCACACAAATTAATTTTTATTTTTTTTAATATGGTGTTGCGAAATATAACGTGACAAATACTAATCAGAAATAATTATTATTTTTTAAAATAACCTATAACTAGAGTTAAAAGACCACAAACCTAGTTTTCCTGGCACTATATAGCCTTTAGGTCCCCCCACCCTCCCTCGGCGCTGGTGACCTCTCCTCCCCCTCCGACATCAGCTCCTGAGTGGGGCCGAATGCGCATGTGTAGCCAGAGCCGCGCGCACATTCAAACCGCCCATGGGAGAGCATTATTCAATGCTTTCCTATGGACGTTCTGCGTGCTCAATGCGATTTGCACATTGAGCATCGCGCAAGCGCCTCTAGCGGCTGTCAGGAAGAGAGCCACTAGTGGTTGGATTAACCCTGCAATGTAAACATGGCAGTTTCTCTGAAACTGCTATATTTAAAGGTGCAGGGTTAAAACCTGGCACCCAGACCACTTCATTGAGCTGAAGTGGTCTGGGTGACTATAGTGGTCCTTTAACTTTAATTTAAAAAAAAAAAAAAACTTAAAGTCATGCTTAGATTTCTTTTATATGTATATTAAATATTTAGCAAATTACAAATCAAACCAGTTAATTCCAGGCACAGCTTATAATAATGATTGGCAGAGAGCTATGATGGAGGCACCCAGTTACAGGATAAAGATGGTATATAGGGTTAAGTTAGTATAATATCATGGGAAGAAATCGTTCCTGCTTAACCAACTCATGATATCAAGGGAATTTACTATCCATTTGTCTTCAAAGGTTGGAAATAAAGATGGTGAATAATATGCAAATGACCCGGTGCTATGTATTATGGGATTTATCTTTTGCAACTTCCATCACAAATACCACAAAGTTGTAGCAGCTTTTTAAATCACCTGTCTCATCTGAGTGCTGGGGGTTTATATTAAAGTATCTGGGTGTAAATAAATACCACTCCACACTCACCGCTAGTGTAAGGATAGTTGTGATTTCTACCTCCACATTAAAAAGCATCCACTGTTAACCATCCTTGTCTTGGGTTGTGAGACTGTACGATGAATGAATAGTGAGAACAGTCCTGCTGACACCACAACTGCATCACTAGTGCAAATGCATTAGCAAGATGCAATTTTTGGAATCCATAATTTAGGTATTAAAACAGATAAGATTAGAACCACAGAATAAAATGTAACCATTGTAGCTTAATTACTGTTCAGTCAGTACAGCCATGATGAAATGCAGCCAAGAGCTAAATAACTAAGTTTACATTTCTATATTTGATGCTTTTGTTCCCTGTGAGTAGGTTAAATATTCCCATCACAGACGTCTCTATGAGAAACTATGATTAGACAGATCTCAACTGCAGTGATATCATTTAGAGGTGTGGCACTGGTAAAAATTTGCATTTCTACATTTTATTTAAAGGACCACTATAGGCACCCAGACCACTTCAGCTCAATGAAGTGGTCTGGGTGCCAGGTCCATCTAGGATTAACCCTTTCTGCTGTAAACATAGCAGTTTCAGAGAAATTGCTATGTTTACAAATGGGTTAATCCAGCCTCTAGTGGCTGTCTCATTGATGCCAGCGTCTGAATGCGCGCGTGGCTCTTGCTCGATGACGACCAAAGGAGGAGGAAAGTCCCCAGCGCCGAGGGAGCCCAGCGCTGGAGAAAGGTGAGTGTTTAACCCCCTTCCATCCCCTTCAGCCTGGCAGGAGGGGGGGGGGGGAAGAAGGGGTTCCTAATACTATAGTGCCAGGAAAATGAGTTCGTTTTTCTGGCACTATAGTGGTCCTTTAATATTTCGTGCTCACGATTACATATTCTTTTGAAAACATAGGGTGTTGCTAAAAATAATGTAAAGAAATGCTGGAAAGTGACAGATTTCATTTAAAGGGACACTATAGTCACCAGAACAACTACAGCTTATTGAATTTGTTCTGGTGAGTAGAATCATTACCTTCAGGCTTTTTGCTGTAAACACTGTCTTATCAGAGAAAATGCAGTGTTTACATTACAGCCTAGTGATAACTTCACTGGCCACTCCTCAGATGGCAGTTAGAGATCCTTCCTGGGTCATGGCTGCCTAAAATGCATCCAAACATTCAGTATCTCCTCCCTCTGCATGTTAGGCACTGAACTTTACTCATAGAGATTCATTGATTCAATTCATCTCTATGAGGAGATGCTGATTGGCCAGGGCTGTGTTTGAATCATGATGGCTCTGCCCCTGATCTGCCTCCTTGTCAGTCTCAGCCAATCCTATGGGGAAGCATTGTGATTGGATCAGGCCACCACTTCTGATGATGCCAGAGGAAGTTCACAGGCAGAGGCAGCAGCTTCAGACTTGAATACAAGACTTTACTATCTCTAGGGAGGCAAAGGGGGCCAAGGGGGCTAGATAGTGGTTTTAACACTATAGGGTCAGGAATACATGTTTGTGTTCCTGACCTTATAGTGCTCCTTTAATTCTAGGATAAAACACACACAAAAATAAAAAAATAAATAAAAAACACTTTCAGGGAGTTGGTGCAAAAGACTGAACCACTATTAGACTTGTTTGTTAAGAAAATGGATGTATATTTATTATAAGAGCAGTCACAATTTAGAGAGACAAAATATTTTATAGCTCTATAATTCACCATCATGCTCCTCCAGCTGTTTGAGATTCTCACTCAATTACCTCTTCATTCCCTTTACAATTTACCAATAGCTGCTTCTCTCTGTTAACTCTTTTAGCCATCACCTTTAAATTTCCTCTGCTACCTTTTGTCTCAAATCCCCACGGTATCCTTTAGATTGTAAGCTAACGTCTATCTAGCTAAACACTTTGTATAAAAGAGCTCCAATGGCTAGTTATCAGCTTACGGGCAGGGCTCTCTCTACCTCTTGTATTTGTCTGTGTATATTGTACGTTCTCCACTAATTGTACAGCGCTGCGGAATCTATGGGCGCTTTATAAATATTAGTAATAAATAAATAAATAAATAATATAATATAATCTGGGCAAGAAGTAAATTCTCAAATGTGGCTTTTGTGCCGTCATATGTAAGATCTATTTATACACAATATATAACAAGGGAAGTACTCCAAGACAATAGCATCAATATTTATTCATCTCGCCTGTGAAGTATTTTCTCCCATTTAGCTCCTCAATCTGGACCACATATTTTTGTTCCCATCTGTCTTGATTCTTCTATGCTTTTTCTTCCAGAATAAATTACATTTTGGCTAAAAACACAGGCAGAAAACGGTTTAGTAGAATGTGCAATGTTCACCTTATCCAGGAGAGGGCAGCATGTGGCAGGGAATGGGTTATTACTACAGTATTTACTAACACAACTGTCGAAGGACTAACACAAACCATGTTTATATTATCAATAGTGAATGCACTGCCCCGGGGGAAGACTTAGACATGAATTAACATTTTACCAATTAAAATATACAGTTTGATTAAGGCATTGCTTAACATACTGCACTCCAGCCCTCTACAGACATGGATGGGGTGGAGTAAAATGGGGAGGAACGGCAGAATACAGTGTCCAAACAAAATAATTAAAGTGATAGAGCTTTGACGTTTATAATCACAAAGTGGGTTTTGTACAGCAATGTCACTTTGATAATAACTTTCATTCAATATAGAGCAAATACATGATACGGATTATGAGAATATACATCAAAGCACTAGCATTTTAATGGTTTCGTTTTGACACTGCATTTTGCATTATATATATATATTCACAAAGCTCTTACAACAGCTTCATTAAATACACTTTAGTTCATTTAGCACTATTTAATTTATCTCCCACGTTACACTTAGTGTCACACGCACAGATATTGGGGTACTGTAAGTAGTGGTGGGTTTTGGATCTGAATCCCCATATTTGTTTGCTGAGATAGGTGATTTAAGTATCTTTGGAAAATCAGTAAGTGAAACTTATCACAAAGCTCAGTGTTTACAACTCATCCCAACAAAGGCAAACAAACTGAATATGTAAATCTGAGAACAATGGGGCCACAAGGACCTAATCTGCACAGAATGAATGAACACAGATCACGTCTTCAAGCTCTAACACTTGGAAGGGCTGTTCAATAATGAACAAACAGCTACAGGCTGGTATTTTAATCCTAGTATTTGTGACTCTAATGTAAATGTATCCAGTAACTGCCAGAACCGGCTAGCCATCCGCAGCTAAAAGGAAGCAAAATGCAATCAGAAAGCCAATAAAACACTTAAAGGGACACCATAGTCACCAGAACATACAGCACAATGTACTACAGCTTAATGTACAGCATACAGCTTAATACATACGGTATGCAGCTTAATGTATAATAAACAGCTTAATACATACGGTATGCAGCGCAATGTATAATAAACAGCTTAATACATACGGTATGCAGCGCAATGTATAATAAACAGCTTAATACATATGGTATGCAGCGCAATGTATAATAAACAGCTTAATACATACGGTATGCAGCGCAATGTATAATAAACAGCTTAATACATACGGTATGCAGCGCAATGTATAATAAACAGCTTAATACATACGGTATGCAGCGCAATGTATAATAAACAGCTTAATACATACGGTATGCAGCGCAATGTATAATAAACAGCTTAATACATACGGTATGCAGCGCAATGTATAATAAACAGCTTAATACATACGGTATGCAGCGCAATGTATAATAAACAGCTTAATACATACGGTATGCAGCGCAATGTATAATAAACAGCTTAATACATACGGTATGCAGCGCAATGTATAATAAACAGCTTAATACATACGGTATGCAGCGCAATGTATAATAAACAGCTTAATACATACGGTATGCAGCGCAATGTATAATAAACAGCTTAATACATACGGTATGCAGCGCAATGTATAATAAACAGCTTAATACATACGGTATGCAGCGCAATGTATAATAAACAGCTTAATACATACGGTATGCAGCGCAATGTATAATAAACAGCTTAATACATACGGTATGCAGCGCAATGTATAATAAACAGCTTAATACATACGGTATGCAGCGCAATGTATAATAAACAGCTTAATACATACGGTATGCAGCGCAATGTATAATAAACAGCTTAATACATACGGTATGCAGCGCAATGTATAATAAACAGCTTAATACATACGGTATGCAGCGCAATGTATAGTATAAACTTCATGTAGTTGTTCTGGTGGGTAGAGCGTGTCACTGCCGGCATAGAATGCAATCAATTCCCTGACTACCCTTCTGTAACTCGAAATGTTAAATTGAAAGTAATACCTTAATACCTCCCTGCCCACTCAGGGTTAATTTGGTATTGTGTTCAGTGTGTCTTATCCCTGAGCTTTATAAACAATGTAATAATGTCCTGCAGTAATTACTGGCCATTCATTGCATACCAAGCACTCAGTATTTCTCTATCAGAAACAAAACACATTGTATTTACAGAGAGCACCAGCTGCACAATCCATTCATAACTCCAGGTTTCACGTTCTATTCCTGGCACAGTCAACCTAACCTTTACCCCTCTAAGATCAATAAACTATAAACTATTGAGTTGGGCAATTAGAACATCTATTAAATGGTTATAAGTTCAGTTACATTTCAATAGTGAGCTTGTGTGCCCCAGAAATCAGTGCTGGCAGGGTTACCTAGGAGCCGGGAGTGGACGTCTGAATGGGATATGGATCTACAGGGGTTTAAATCCCAAACCCAGGCAGAACTAAGAATGAACACAGTGTGTCCCAAAGTGTGATTAAATCCACAGGACAATGGTAATAGTTTACACGCAGTCTAGATCCTTTTCTCAGACACATGCCAATTATTATTTTACAACTAGGAGCTGATCCCAGCAATAGTGGGCTGCCACAGTATATAAGACTGGAAAATGACCTCTGATGGGAGGTAATATGTGGTACAATAACATGTCTTGGTGATCAGCAGCTAAACAATTAATGTGAAATACCCTTTTATCCACACTACATAAAATAGCAACAAAAACGTGATATAAAATACCTTTTAGTGGAGCGCTAAATAATTCTATCTGGTCTGTGTAGGGGTGCTTTAAACTTACCCCACAAATACAGTGTGATCATTTACGCGAAGGTACATAAAATGACAAAAAAATAATAGTG